TCCCATATCATAGCCGTATTGCAAACAATCCCGCAAGCCATCAGGTGAAATTGGAGCAACAGCTTTGGACTGCATGTTATATTTTCACTAAAAAGTCTCTTTGCCTGTACCCTGACTATGTTAGGGCTTAGCCTGTGAAGTCGCTTTTGTATTTCAGTTACATTAAAAACACAATACATGAGCTTCCTGGAGAAAAAGCTGCAGCATTTATATACTTAATTTTGCAAGGAAGGCCAGAGAAGTCTAAATTTACAATCCTGTGGGAAGACAGAAGAGAGAACTCTGTAGAGAACACTCATCAGTGCTAATTCTAGGAGTGAAGAAAGCCTTAGCCATCACTAACCACACAGAAGTCCCCTCCGCCCCCAGCTGCTAACATTATCCTGAAACTTCAGACAAGTGTGTTCAAGTCTATTTTGTGGATTCAAAATGTCAGCGTCTTTGCACGGGCGCATTAGAGAGACCCTGGAGGATCCGGGCATTCTCAGATCCTCGACGCCAAGCTTCTGGCCCATGGGAGGGACACCGCGGTATTCCACTTCCCTGATGATTCATGTGGATGGATGTTTGGCTGTTTAGGTTTTGAAACGTTCTCAACCGAAACTGAAACTTAAGAAATGCTGTCAGCCTGGAATTTTTTTGCACCTGCAAAAACAGTCATGTTACTAAAATCAACTGTTTTTGCCACACAGGCCAGTGCATGTGACGGGGGTGTTTCTCCAGCCGTGTGTGTAAGCGGCCGTTGCACAATCCAGCACATCGCATTCCAAGCCAGAGTCCGCTTGGACACACTCGGAAGTCGGACGCGGAGAAGCCGACCGGCCTCCAAGGGCAGCTTGCTTAGAGGACAGGAGCACACATGCCGCTCCTCTGCTCAGTGAACTAGCCCAAGGGCTCCAGAATACACTCTTTCCAGCTCGTGTGAACTCTGAAAGGGCCTTGGTCCCTCCACAGCATGACTCACGTTCTTGGACAGACTTAACATTTTTGCTAAAACCAGCTATTAGGCCTGGCCACTTCCTTCCTCCCAGGCTCTATTTTCAGTAGAGACAGGAGCCCCTGCACCTGTTGTCACCGTGGCCGCAGAAGGAAACTTCTGCAAAGCCCTCATCTGCCTGCACAGCAGGGAAGCCCAAGCCAAGGCACGGGACGCTTTCAGTGTCCAGAGGGCCGGTCGGGGCCCAGGGGCCAGGCAGCCCCAGGAGGGAGCATCTCCTGACCAGATGTGTGCCCAGTCTGGGGCTGTCCCCTCCAGGTCTGTGGCTAGTCGTGTTCCTAAGGGGTGTGGCCAAGGGTCCCAGCCCTGTTCTTTTGACCACTGGTGTGATGATCCCAGGGGAGGAAGAGACCCTGGGGTGCCTGCCTGCCATGTAGCCAACCTCGGTCCACATGCTGGGAAGTAAATGTGGCTGAGACACAGCCCTGAGAAGCTTTCAGTGCTGTGGACTGTGACACCTGGGGCGGGGTCTACTGCAGTCCGGGAGCAGGTGGAGAGCTGGCTCCCAGCCCCTTCGCTGGTCAGGGTCAGGCGCCACCGGCTCCAGCCGTCCTGCCCTGGGTGTGCCACAGGATGGAATTTCAGGACGAGGTGGCTGAACACCACCATGTAAAAACCAGTTTCTGCCTCCATTCTCTTTCCAAACCCAAGCTGGTACCGAGACACTGGATAGCTGTCATGATATGCCAGGGACCCATCTTGGCCACTAGCTGCTGGCAAGCCTCCTCCCAGCATGCCTTTTGTCTTTCTTCAGTAGACATTTGGCAGAACGGTGGGGTTCTTATTTTCACCTTTTATCTGGGTCTGTTTGTCCATAGCTAGAATAACAGGGGGCTTTTCAAACCTAATGAATGCAACATTCAAAGAAAGGCGTCCAGCAAATGGAGTGCCTGGTGCCACACCTCCCTGGCTCAGAGAAGAGGCCCTTTGGGGCTGAACATCTTTCATTCACTTGCTAAACTTCCAAAAACACAAGTTGGAAAACTCAAAGTCCTGAAACCAAATCATAAATCTTCCCCCTTCCTAACATTTTCATCAGTAGCAGTTACTTGATCAGCTCGTACACTTTAGATGTAGGGGGGAAGGGAGAAAAGATACAATTTGGAGTTTTAATATCCAATGGATTTGTGTTGTATTTCTTATCCGTGTCTACTTCTTCTTCTCTAAAAATACATTTAACTAGACTAAACACCTCCTTAGGCACATACTTCGCTGAAACATGGAGACTGTGCTCTGGCTGAACATGATTTACTTAGAGACTTGCGAGTGGTGTTCTGGAAGGTGGTGCTGGGCTCCCTCACCCTCAAGGAGGCGGACGTGCCTGAGCTGGGGTCACAGTTCACGGCTGTACAATGCTGCTCACTGTCAGGGAGGGGCCTAGATGCTGGCTGCAGAGAATGGAGTGTTGCCCCAACGGCTGTCCCACTGCACTTGCTACTCAACACACCACACACTCACACACACACCACACACACACACACACACACACACACACACAAGCCCATCATAAAAACGTATCAGCTCACACAGATGCGGGCCCAAGGATGCACGTGTCTGGCACTTCCTCTAACTGACAGCAGGGTCTGAGGCACAGGCCCCAGGCATGGGCCCCACCCCCGCAGGTTCTTCCTCCTGCGGACTCTGGCACTGCCTTGCCTACCCGCTGGGTTTCCTGCGGCCGCGGGCAAGTAAGCCTGAGGCACGATACAGCCCTTCTGCAAAGCAGCTCAGGCGCGATTCTGCTTCGGTGGCCCGATGAGCCATGAGCCGCGGATGGTCACTAGTACTTCGACTGTGTGTCTTCCAATCCTGTTTGCTTCCACCCTGCAAGGTCCGGGAGCCTGGTTATGACCGCAGAGGTGGGGGGAGCGGCACAGGGCCCATGCCTGGAGCCTGTGCAGGGGCAGGCTGTGGGCTGGGGCTCCTTGGCCACCCCGAACCCTTCGATCACCGGGCCGTGCACTCGGGGCTACCTTCTGTCACTGTTTCTTTAAAGCGTATTTTCCAACGGGGTGACCGGAGGAGAGGGTTGGGACGTAAGTGGCCAGGCGCTGGGAGAAGGGCAGGGCTCGGGGACAGCAGTGAGGAGGCCGGAGCGCCCTCCCTCCCGCCCCCGTTCACACAGAAAGTGGGGCTGCTGGAGACGGAGGCAAACACACGGTCCCCGAAGCGCCCCTCACAGAACAGTCAACCGCGGTCAGTGCGCAGCATTTCAAGGACAACACATCAGCCAGTAAAATGTTTTGGTTAATTTTGTTCGGGGTGGAGAACTTTATGACCACGAATTATACCTGCAGCCGCACACTGAGTGGGGCATAGAGACAGCCCTTTGTCCTTCCGCCGAGGGAACCTTTTCAAATATTAACTCAGCCACCTCCCCGCGCCCCGGCTAGGAGGCAGGCCGCTCGGGCTCAGCACCCTGATGTCCCAGAGGCCAGGGCTCGGCTTCCCAAGGTCAGGGCTACGCCTCGAGGGACAAACGGGTGGGAGTCTGGGGTCCCTGAATTCCCATTTCTCACTCGCAAAGACACGCCCCAAGTTCTCAGACCTCCGCCTAAGGCCCCAGGTCCCCGAAAGTAGACGGACCTCGAGCTGGAACCCATAAACATTTCCCGTCCTGGAGGACGCACTGCCCACGGCCCCTTACATAGTGCCTTTGGTTCTGCGCGCAGGCCTCGGGGTGAGACCCAGAAACGCGGGGGCTGGGGGCGCATGCCACAGTGGAGCAGGATAGGGGGTGCTAAGGAGACTCCCTCCATGGTCACACCAGACCCGGCTTGACTGAAGCCCCTGACTCTGGCTCCCCGGGTGACCTCGAGTAAATCATTCACTGTGCGCAGCGCGGGGGGCCGCCGTGCCCTCCACCAGAGCGTTCGGCTCCTCACAGCCGAAACCTCGGGGGTTCCTGGTGGAAAGGGAGGTGTTCTGGCCCAAGAAGCAGCAACCCTCTGCCAGTCCTGTCCCACAGCGGTGCTCGGAGGTACATACAGACAAAGCCAGGCGTGATGCCCATTAAAAATTTAACTATATATCATATTCATTTATTATCAATCCACAGGATAATTTGATTGCTACATGAGCTCATAAAAGCTTTTTCACCTTTACAAAATTAAAAAAAAAAAAAATGTGCCACAAGGATGTAATAACTGCTGATAAACAAGAAAAGGAATCTTAAAATTATAAATTTGCTGTAGAAAAGATAAAAAACAATTATATTTTCTTTAGAATTTTACCTTGAATAAAATATTCCCCTGTATAAAAAATAAAAAAGCTTGCTCTGGTTAGAATTAGAGTATTTTTTCTTCTTTTTTTCTTTTTGTCTTCAAATCTGGGGATTTGCATAAGGTCTCCAAGATGGGTTTCCTTTGTACCGCGTGGCAGAGCAGATCAAGCATAGCAGATCGGAAAGGTTCTCTCTCTCTTTAAAGCAGTCTTGAAGGGGGACCTCTGTGGAGACGTTCATTTTCTCCTCCTCCTCCTGGCCTGTGCAGGAGGAGGAGGAGGAAAGGAACTGGGAGGGGAGGCGATGGAGGGGGCGGGTGCTGGGAGTAGGGCACAGTCACGAGAAGGTCTATCTGTAAGTGCTTTACGATAAGGTGCAGAAGCCGACGGCCACGTCGCTAGAACTGCCCTATGTACATATTCACAAGAATAAAAAATTCCAGCGAGTTCACATTTTCTCCTCCGTTCTGAGGCATCCACTCCACCGTGCTGGCCCGGACCGCGGGGGCGCAGCACCTCGCTGCCCGCGTGGCTGTTGGTCCTATGACGTCCTTGAACTTGAGGGAGCAGCCCTGGGAGACCCGGCAGGCGCGAGAGGGACGTGTCTGCCGACGGGCTGCAGTCCTGAGTTAAGAGAAGCTCCAGTCCTGGAGTTGGACACAGCAATCAATGTTCTATCGACAAGGCTTTTTCCCTTAGATTTGTCTAGAATAGGTGTCAGAGAGAAAAATAAAATACAAACAAACAGCAACACAAAGCCAGGAAATCCCAACAACCACCAGGGGAGGTCAAAGGCTTAACAGCTCTTGACGCGGGCCTGGGCGATGTCGGACGTTTTCTTGATGACGCTGGCCCGGGTCTCCCGGTCCGGCCGGCTGCTGCTGGGGGCCGGGGTCACAGAGGACGTGAGGGGATGGTCCGGGAAGGGGGGCCAGGAGCTGCTGAAAGGCATCGGATAGTTCTCTTCTTTGATGGTGACCTGGAGATCAGGCTTGCTGGACGTCACGAAGGTCGCCATGCTGGGCAACAGGTAGGCGCTGCGGGTCCCCATGTTGCTGAGGTACCGCTTGCCTTCGATGTTCCTCTTCCGCCAGGGTGGCCGCCCCTGCCAAAGAAAATACTTAAAATAGATTTTTTTCTTTGCCTTCTATGGGATGGCTTATTTATTTATTTTTTTTAAAGAGCACCACTGTTCCCATATGTAGGTGTTTAACTGAATTTTTTTTTTATCCTCACCCGAGGACATTTTTGCATTTATCTTCAGATAGAGCGAGAGGGAGAGAGGGAGGAAGAGAGAGAGAAACATCGATGTGAGAGACACAGCGACTGGCTGCCACCCACACGACCCCAACTGGGGCCGGGGACAAACTGCAACCGAGGTACGTGCCCTTAGCGGGAACCAAACCCGGGTCTCTCTGGACCGCGGGCCGACGCTCTAACCGCTGAGCCAAATTGACCAGGACTAACTAAATTTCTTAAGAGTTGTGGAAGGGCCCTGGATGGTGTTGCTCAGTGGTTAGAGTATTAGCCTGTGCACGGAAGGGTCTCGGGTTTGATTCGAAGGGTCTCGGGTTTGATTCCCGATCAAGGGCACGTACCTGAGTTGCAGGTTCAATCCCTGGCCCCGTTTCGGGTGTGCAGAGGGCAATCAATGGATGTGTCTCTCTCACATTGATGTTTCTCTCTCTCTCTCTCCCTCCCTCCCTCCCTCCTCCCTTCTACTCTCCCTAAAACTCAATGGAAAAAATATATCCTCTGGGGAGGATTAACAACAACAACAAAAAAGTTGTGGAAGAAACAGAAGCTTAGCAACTCTACCTCCCTCAACTGAAACCCGTACCCAGATATTCATACCCCAGCAATGGTTCCCCTTCCCTCTTTGTCAGTTCCCATTTGCTCCCTCCCAGGAGTGCAGCCAAGACTGTCCTGTGAAGGCAGGAAACAAGGCAGCAACGTGGTTTCTGGTTCCCCTCCACCCCCGATGCCCAGCCTGGTCATCAGGTAGGCTTGGGGCCTTGATGGCTGGTTTGTCATGGAGACTTGGTTTCTCATTGGTGCCCACTCCGATCTTTGAGTCCACTTGCATTTTCAGAGGAAGGGAAGTGAGACACTCAGTACCAAACAGTGGCTGCCCCTTGACTGCATGCAGATGGGTACTGCTCAGAGCTCAGGGTGCCAAGCAAATAGCTAACCTTGGGGGAGCGCCATTCAGAGAAGGCGCTGGAGCTCTGACCTTGAAGAAACAGCGTCAGAATGTCTGTTAGCTGCTACATCTAGCGTTGTCTGTTTAGAATTCCCGTGCTGGGAAGTGTTCAGTACACTGGGAACCCCCTAATTCAAACAGCCGTTATTCAGTCAGACTCTGGGTCTAACGCAGACACAAAGCAGGCTCTGGCGGGAACGCTCCCCATCAGCGTTACAGCCGTTTCCTGCCATTGTGTGGGCCCTGCCAGAGGAGGGAAGCACGCGGGAAGCCCTGTGACTCACAGGCAAGACTGAGCGCACACTGGCCTCCGGGCAGGAACACAGGGGGACGGGACTCCAGGTGCCCGTGGACACACTGTTGCTTGGCACTTTCTGATGCTTGCTTCTGGCCATTGCTTTTGGTGGCAAGGACATTCTATTTCTGCTTGTGAATTTGGCTGTTTACATGGTAAGAACCTCAGCATTTCCTGGCCTGGACTTCAGTCTCCTCCTGCCGTCCTGGCCTCTCCTTCCAACGGTAACGTCAGTTCCCAACGCTTCATTTTATAATTCAAAGCCCAGAAGTCTGGTAAATTGTATGTATGCTTGACCACACACACACAGATCTGAGAGTGAAACTACACTCAGAAGGAAGGAAGTGTAGCCAGCTTACCTCGGCGCTCTCTTCATCACTGGGCACACTGTCCGTAGTTTCGCTTTCTGTTCACGGAGAGAAAAACACAGGGCCGTCATTCCTGCCACACACACAGTTTTGAGGCTTGGGCAGTATTGAAACATGTCTCAGTACTTCTTTTGTCCAGCAGAGAAAGGGGTCACTAACCTCACCATCTCCGTCCCCTGCATCTCCCGCGTAAGGGCAAACGTGTGTACTCGGGGATGCCAGCGAGCTGGCCCTTGGAGACAGGTGTGAGGGCCCAGGGTGGCTCACCCCCCGCGGGCCAGGCGACCTTCACCCGCCACCAGAACGGGGGAGCGCTGCCCCGCGCTCTGCTGCCCTGCCTCCTGCAGGCCTGGTCCACCCTCACGGCTGCTGTTTCCACAGTGCCCCCACGGGTCTTGCTCCGCGGGTCCCTGTCAATTCCTCCGTCTTCCCACATCACCCCAGTCGGCTCATCTCCTCTACCGCACACCCTGGTACTGATCTCAGAGGACTCCAGGGTGGCCGCCGCCGTCCTTATGCTGGGGTCTACTTTCTTGTGGCATTCCCTTTTGGGGAGTGTGGCGGGGAGACCTGTGACTCGCTTTAAACCAAGAGAACACAGCGAAGGTGGTGGGGTGTGTGTGGTCACATGACGGAAGGCTGAACCCTGCGCGCTGAGACCATCCTCCCCATTGCAGCTTCGGGACGTGAGCAGCCATGTGGGAGGTTCAGATGACAAAGAATTAAAGGGCTGCTTCCAGCCAATATCCAGCAAGAGACCGAGGCCCTCCGTGTGACCTCCTGCAAGGAGCTGTGCTCACTGGACCCCACCCCATCTGAGCTTGGCTGGAGATCCCCCTTCGATCCTCAGATGGGATGGAGCCCTGGACTGCAGGTCTGTGCATGGGGTACCCGAGCTCAGCCAGGCCTGCACCCCTCATCCCCAGAAACGGCGGGACAATAAATGTGTCCTGTGTTAAGCCACTGAGTTTGTGGTTGGACTGTCATGCAGCCATCGATAGCACATTCTGCTCCCGCCCTGATTCAGCTGCCAGCCAGGACCCAGGGAGCACGTGACTCCCTGAGCTGCAGGTCCCTCATCTGCAAAATGGGCGCGTAACTCTTCAGGAGCTGGTTATGGGACGAGTGAGTGCGGAGCAGGACAGGGCGGGGCCGGGGCAGGCACAGGGCGCATGCTCCGTCAGGGCGATCCCGCCTTTGAGCTGAGCTCCCGCCGCAGTCGGCACTGGGTTGGCGCACACACTGGATGAACAGAGTCCAAGTCTACAGCCAGTGACCGCAAATCACCTGGACGTATGACACAGGGCTTTCTAAGCGACAAAGTTTTCATTTTACTTTCTAAGTAAACATTTTTAAGTAAAAGAATTGACTGTGGGCAGTGGTTCCGTGTTCAGAGCTGCGAGAGATCAAAGTACAAAGGGTAGAACTTTTGAAATACACAGACCCTTAGAGACCCCCGAGGCTGGGCCATCCATTTCCCAGACAGGCCTGAGAGCAACCGTGGGAGCGAACATGCCCGGAGAGCCGAGCGCCGGGCTGGCTGGCGTGTGCAGGCCTCGTCCAGCCCTCCCGAGACGTCCACACCGGGAGCCGAACTGTCACCCTCCCTCATGCCTTCACCCTCCACCAGAACCCACCGGCGAACCGGCCTCCTGTCTCACAGCCTGTTGGTGGCGCAGCTGGGTGACGGAGCGCAGACCCCCCTTCGCCACCCGGAGCTCTGCACAGACTCGGAACTGCAGGCTGCAGAGCACTCGGACAGGACAAGCGGAGCCCTGGGTTCGCGCCCTGAGCAAAGAAGGCCAGCGGAGATCACACTGGGCCCACCTGAAGCCCTTCTGCAGTTTCCAGCCACCGTTCTCCTGTGACTTCTCCGGGCACGAGGAACTGCCAGCAGGGACCCTGAGCAGCTAGAGAATGGTCTCTCCTCTCCTCGGACCTGGCAGACACCCCAAAGCTGTCCACCCTGGTAATGGCCCGAGCCATCACTCCCGCTGCTCTGGCCTCTGGAGAAATGTCAAGACCCCCTTCCTATTTTTATGCTTAGCTAGGCCCCTCCACGCCTACCTACCCCCATAGGAGCCTTTCCCCTTCGAATAAAAACAAACAGATGTCAACAGGCACACTTGGGGCTGGAAATATGCAAAAATGAGCGGTCAACACCGAGGTCCTGGGACTCCACCACAGCCCAAGTCACAGATGTGGGAGGGGCTGGCAGACCCTGGGCAAGACTCCTCGGCAAGACCTTGCACAGACCATGAACGTGAGCACAATGTCACCTGCCTTTAGGTACCCAGTTTTCACCGTCAGGGACACAGGTGGAGACAAGAAAAGACACACGTTCTGAACTCATGTTTCGGCTGACACAAAACGTTAGCTGAGCTGTCGTTTCTAAGTCAAGATCAATGCTCCCGGAGTAGTGATGAAGACTCCGTGTCAGCAAACCGAGACTTCTGATGTGAGTGTCTAAAACAACAGTCCTTCAGCCTAGGAACAGGGGCTGCCTGGAGCTCCAGCCTAAGGGCCAGGGCCCTGCCCCCCCGTCGCAGTGGGTCTCACAGCTGCGCAGGAAGCCCCAGCTCGGAGTGCTTTGCTGGGGGCTCTCCTGCTCGCTCCCCTGGTTTTAATTCACCATCCTGCCATTTCCAAGATCCATCTTATCCCACAAATAAGTTCACCGCAGCGGGTGCTGCCAGTTACTGCCGAAGCAGCAACATGAGTTATTTCGTCTTCCCTTTTGATTATTTTGGATTTTTTTTTTTTTACACTTTGAATAAAATAGAGTTTAAAAAGAATTAGGGGTTGCTTCCCCAGCAGGGTCTGACTACGTTCCGAGAGAAATAGCGGGTACAGGAGTACTTCACGGCACCTTTCGGGTCTCCGGGTCCTGAGAGCCACTGGGGCGAGGGGGAGAAGAGCTCAGGATGAGATGATCTCGTAGTCCGCTTCCCGGGCTGCAGCTCTAGGAAGAGGGCACCTCAGGTCCGCAGAGCACTTCAGCCAAGTTCTCACTGTCAGACCGTCTCAGGATCGTTATTGGGAGGAAGAAGGACAACGTGTTTCAGAGGAAACCCTTTCCGCACTCTGACATCCTGGTACATTTTCTGGAAGGGTCTCATCCAACACGTTTTATTAAGGTTGACGAGGGTTGCTTTCCTCCATCATTTGCTCAATTACGTTCTCTAGAAGCTCCATTAAAAAGTTTGAATCAGACTGATCTCCACCTCCGAGGGCCTCTCTCTACCCCATCCAACAGGGTGCAGTGGTTCCCAATGGGCCCAACACCCTCACCGCCGGCTGTGGGTCAGCAGGCGGTCTCCGCTCTCCAGTCACAACCAGCCCGTCCTTCCCATTGCGTTCCCACCAGCTAGTGTCCGCCCCCTCAGCCAGCCCGCTCCAAACCCTCTGCGGCTCCCCACTCGACCATCTCACAACGCCCTGCTGTCACGTATCAGGCAAGAGGCAGGTCATGGGAGACCTTTCAAGACAAAACGACTCTCCTCGAATTTCCCAAGGCTGGGCTTCAGGACGTCCATCCCCGGGATGAACGTTTCACGAATCCAACCAGAACTTTCTGCTGCCTGAAAACATCCAGTGCAAGGACTTCCGCTCAAAGAGACGGGCTCTCCTCTCGCTCACCATTACGTGTGAACCAGAGAGAAGACAGCCTTGCAAAACCGCTCGGGGTTTTGTGATCCTGCTGGCATTATGTTTCAGTGATCGGTACAGGGGGAAAAACAGCTAACAACAAACAGCCTCCAAATACCCGTTTCCTAAACAAATGGATGAAACTGGTTAGAGGAAGTGGAAATTCAGCTGAATAATCAAAACAAATAAACAGAAACACACCCTGCCGTGGAAAGCAGGCAAACAGCCAACCCTACTGGAGATCACAGAGGTGGAGAGATGACTACAAGCGAAAACACGGCCTTTCCGAGCAGCAAGCTCTCAAATCCCCAGCTACGGGAGACCTCAGCGGGCAGCTCCAGAAAGGGAGCAGTGATGAAACATTTTAGCTCCAACTGGTAAGTCTCCCTACAAAGGGTTCCGGAGAATTCGGACAATGTACATGTGGGCGAGAACTAGAGGCAGGGCTCCAACAAACCCCTGGTCCTGCCAGCCTGGCTCTGAAATCCTTCTTTTCAAACCTATGCAAATGTCCTGAAAAGGGTAATGACATTTTCACTTCTCCCTGCGTGGTCAGCGGTCCTCCGGATTCTCTGCTAAGGCAAAACCCGCTGCTGGAGGGACAGCAGGAAGAGGTGTCTCCAGGACCCCTGGGAGGACCTCAGCCACGTCTTCCTCCACGCGTGAACAGAAAAGTCTAGTCCAGAGCTCCAGCACCTTGGGAAAAACCACGCGGGGAGTAATAATGCAGCACGAACTAGCAGCCACGCACTTTCAGCCGCAGCTATGTAAATGTGAGCAGAGTAGCTTCGTGTTTCAAGCTTCAGTTATCTCGACTGTAAAATGAGGCAGGAACATTCTGCTCTGCCTCCTCGTCCAGTGGGCCTCTGGGATCAGGCGGTGTGGGCGTGTCCTGAGGGTGGAGCCCTGCACGGCTGTCCCTGGCAGCATTTGGGTGGAAGGGCCAAGCGCAGGCCTTTGGCATATGCTACATCCGGGTTCTGACTGTGCTACCCCGATACTCATCCCTGGACACACAGCGTTACCCACAGCGGCCCTGGATTCCTGACTTCACAGAGGGAACCATGATGATGGGATTATTCTCATGATAATTAAGTTCATGGACAACGGACACCAAGCATCAGCACAGTCCCCAGGGCACAACAAACATGCGAGAAATGAGTTATTATTACTGGGGACTGGCACACCCCGGTGGGGGACTCACATGTAGGAGTTCAAAACATGCTCGATGATTCAATAACGACGACAAGCTTATCCTGCCTGACAGATGCGAGGCTTCCGGCGGCGACGGCCGTTCTCGCATTGCGTGAGGGTCCCGCACAAAGGAAGGTGAGGACCTTGAGGACACTGTGCTGCTTTCTGTGAAATGAGCCAGTTACAAAGGACAAATCCTGGATGGTTGCACTCGGATGAGGCACCTAGAGTAGCCAGATTCAGAGAGCAGAATGGTGGCTGCCAGATGCTGGGGGCGAGCAGAGAGGAGGGAGCCAGCATTTCATGAGGACAGAGTTTCAGTTCTGCAAGATGAACAGTCGTGGAGGTGGGCGGTGGTGATGGTCACACAACAATTAAGTGAATGCACTTAATGCCGCTGAAACAGCAAAACTGGCAAATTTTATGTTATGTGTATTTTACCACAATTTTCCAAAAGTGAGCTAAAAAGAAAGTTGGGGTTCAGGTTATTTAGTAACTGATGACTGACAAACAACTTGGTACTCTGTCACTAGGGTGGCACCCTAATGGAAGGACACTATAAAAAGGATACTGGGGCCCTGGCTGGTTTGGCTCAGCAGTTAGAGCATCGGCCCATGGACCAAAGAGTCACGGGTTAGATTCTGGTCAAGGGCATGTACCTCGGTTGTGGTTTGGTCCCTGGCCCTGGTCAGGATTGTGCGGGAGGCAGCCAGTCGGTGTGTCTCTTTTACATCAATGTCTCTCTCCTTCTCTCTCTCTCTCTCCCTCTCTCCCTCCCACTCTGTCTGAAAATAAATGGAAAAATATCCTCGGGTGAGGATTAAAACAAAAAAAGTTCACCTGAACCATTTCTCAGAGCTGAGTGCAGTTAACTCGTGATAAGGCCTTTGCTTTGTATTCTTAATGTTTGCAAGCAATTACCCTGACTCAGAATGTATACTTCCTAGTTATAAGAGGGTCCCCCCAGTTAAATGAAGATCACTGGGAAGAGAGTCTAAGAGGACGTCACGGTGGTGGGAAAAGGAGCCATCGCTTTGCCCTGGAAGGATGGAAGAACCAGCTGAGCCGGGTTCTAATCCTGTGACCGTCTGGGCCAGTCCCTGCAATGATGTGGCCATTCGCTGGGGAATCAGTTGCCTGGCCCAATCAGAAGCTGTTCTAAGTGGGAAAAGAAGGGGGAGGTATGTGGGAGTCACAAGTAAACCTGGTGGAATGGACTGGGGCTTGGGGTCTGAAGGGTAAGTTCAAGTCCTGACCCACTCACTCACTGGCCGTGCGACCTGGAACAAGTCCCTTCACTTACAGAAATGAAGGACCTGGAAACAAACGATCCCTACGGCCCAGGCAGCTTGGTCAAACTCAGATTCCACTGCAAGCAGCCTTGCGGATTTGTGAGACTGCGTGCAAATAAAATAGACTCAGATGAACTTACTTGTCCAAAGAAATCTTATTATTCCTTAGTCGTGCATGGAAATGTGGTGGGCGAGCAAATACAGACACGCCGTGACCACATCTCTTGGGAGCACAAGAGCCAGACACGCAGGCCCAGAACCATTCCCAGGCGTGAGGGCCCTTTGCCGTGCGGTGACAGGCAGCTCTGAACGGTGGGGCTGCTCTCCCCCGTCCTCGCTCAGGTCGTTCCCCTCCTACCCCCTTACCTGCGTAGGAAGACACGGGGGAAATCTGCAGAGGGTACAGCTCACTCATGCTGACCGGCTGTTCATCGCTCTCGGTGGTCACCTCCACCACTTGGCAAATATCTGGGGGGTTGGTGACGATCTCTTGATCCTCAATGTTGCTGTCCAGGTGTGACTGTCCTACGACTTCAAAGAAGAGAAAGCCATCATGCACCAGTGCCCCCCGATGGCACACTTCCAGCACACACCCTCAGGACAGAGACCTTCCCAGAAAGAGCCGAACAGCCAGGAGTTAGATTCTCAGTCACCACATGTCACCTGCCATGAGGCTGAAGAACGCGCCCTAGCTTTGGCTTGATGTCAGCAGAGAAGCAGCCTGCCAATAACCTGGCTCCCTGGGACCACCTCCAGCAGGGCCGAGAGAGTCCGCACATGTGGCAATGCCCCAAACCCCACCCAGGCCCAGCCAAGGCTGTAGAACCAGAGGCTGCACCCAGACCCAGACCCAGGACCAGGCAGACAGTGCTCTGAACCTGACCCCTTTCTGTTCTCCGCTCTCGCTCCGAACGAAGCTGTTGTGCTATGTTCTGGGTCCTGAGATTCAGAGAGACATTACCAACCCTTAGTAAGAAGGAAGGACCACCCAAGCCCACCCCACTGTGCCATTGCTAGCCACGGGGTGCTGTGTTCACGCTCCCAGACCTCTCCCTGCAGCCAACACGACCACGGGATGAAACACCGGGATGATAAAACAGAAAGAACGGTTTCCCAGTTCTCACATACGTCAGTAGCATCGACTCCCCGGCACGGACACGATGATTTCCAACCACCTGGCTCGGAACTCTGCCTCATTTTTTTTTTAATTAAACTTTTTAGTTTGAGCCTATTATAGATTCACAAACAGTTGGAATAAATAATAGAACGAGATCCTGTGAACCCTTTACCCGAGTTTTCTCTGATGGCACCTCGCAGAACCATAGTACAATGTTAGGAGGTCGACAACAAAAACTATGCATCTTGTGCCAATTTTCTTCCTTTCACTTGTATTTTTTGTGTGTGTTTATGCATGTGTACTTCGTTCCATGCAATTTTATCACATATACAGCTTCACACACCCGCTACCACAGTCGTCATCACAAGCTTCTCCTACGTTATTCTTCTGTAACATTATCCACCTGCCTTCAGCCTCCTCCCCGGGGCTCTAATCCTTAACTTCTACTAATCTGTTTCCTATTTCTCTAATTTTCGTCATTTCGAGAATGTGTCAGAAAAAGACTCACATAATAACTTTTTGAGGTTGGCTTTTTCACATGGGCACAGTTCCCTGGAGATTAATTCATTCAATGTGTGTGTGCCAACAGCTGGTCCCTTTTCATTGCTGAGTAATATTCCATGGTTTGGATTGTCCCACAGTCTATTCCCCCTCTGAAGGACTTCTGGGTCATGTCCATTCTTTGTTACAAATAAGGCTGCTAGAACATCTGTGCATAGGTTTTGTATAAACATAAGTTTCCACTTCTCTGGGATAAATGCCCAAGAGTGCAATTGCTGGATCACATGGCAACTACATGTCTAGTTTTACAAGAAACTGCCAAACTTCTGTCCAGAGTGGCTGCGGCATTCTACACTCCCACCAGCAGTGGACAGACTGCCTGACTTCCACACAGTCTCGCCAGCTTTTGGTGTGGTCACTATTTTTCACGTGGGCCGTTGTGACCAAACTGTGGAGTAAGTTTCTCGTCAGGACTTTCATTCCAATGCTCCTAATGCCCTGCCCTACTTTGAATCAGAGCTGGCCTTATACTTCAGTAGGCAATTAACTGAATGGAATATACCAGAAAACTGGCACCAGTAAACAAATGGGAATAACATTGTTTCCCCGCGGGCCTCAGCCCTTTGCCATCAGAATCAATGTTTTGCTCAAGCTAGATGTGTAAGTTATTTTAACATTCTCCACCCTGGAAATGACAGGGGAAGCATCACTACTCTGTTATGAACAAAGAAACTCAGGCACAGGAAGCAGAATGACTGGTCCAAGGTCACACCGTTTGTGCAGTGCTCTTTGTCCCTGACATTTTCTCGGCCATCTGCAAAATGTCCAGGTCAGGCAGGAAGGTGGCCACGTTCCAGTCTCCTTGAGAAATGAGCCTTCACGGGCCAGTTCCTGTTTTCACTGCTCCAAGTATTTTAATTGCTCAAGTATTTTTGTTTATAAATGGGTTCCTGTTTTGATTGCTTTGTGTGTGTGTGTGTGGGGGGGGGTGATTAAATGAGTCGTGTGAGGTAGAGAGGACATTACCTGATTTCTACTGAGGGAGGGTTTTACAGGGAGTGAGCATTCACAGCTCTAAAAAGGCAGGACAGGCAGGCCGAGGCGGGGGGAGGAGACCTGGGCTGTGATGAGAGAGGGCACAGAGCCACAGCACAGAGTGCAAGGGACACTGGATGCTGCTTGGGTTTTCCTGGAGGGGATGCCACTGAAGAGAAGGCAGGCCGGCTAAATCTGGCAGGCCGACTCCCAAACTCTCATCTTACTCTTTGGACTATCTATTTGAGCATGAGAACATCAATTATGCAGTTCACTAGACACAGACTGAGCGCCGACACTGACCTCTCTCAAGTTTCTTCTGCCTCTTTCCCAAGTAAAATAAAATAGAGCGAAAATGAGATTTCCCAAGTCCTGAGAAGCAGTTAGTGGGTGGAGACGGAACCCTAATGGGGTGTGAGTGTGTGAGCGTGAGTGTGTGTGCGCGTGTGTGTGTGCATGTGTGCGTGTGTATGTGAGTGTGTGTGTGTGTGTGTGTGAAGAGGGTGGTATAAGCAATACCCAGTCTCAGGCAATTAAGATCTTACATAAACTGGATTTATATCAAAGCCACTTTAACTTCTAACACTGCAAAGTCCATTTCTCTGTTTCACTGTCCTTTCAAATACAGCACGCTTACTGGGAGTATTAGAAATGGCCGCAGTTCAAGTATCATTCTAATTACATCTGTTTGTTCTAACCAAGAATTCTCTTCCTCACTATTTTGTTTTGTTGTTGCAGTTAATTCTCACGGGAGCATATTTTCCATTGATTTTTAGAGAGTGGGAGGGAGGAAGAGAGAGGGAGAGAGAAGGACACATGGATTGGTTGCCTTCTGCAGGACCCCGATCGAGGATGGGGATCAGACCTGTAGTCCTCCAATCTGCAGGCTGATGCTCTAACCTTTGAGTCAAACCAGCCAGGGCTATTTTCTTGGGGGTTTTTTTTCTGTTTTGTTTTTTTAATCCTCACCTAAGGATACTGATGTATTGGGGGCAGGAGCGGGGGGGAGAAACATCGATCAGTTGCCTTCTGTAAGCACCCCAACCTGGGATCGAACCTGCAACCTTTTGATGTACGGAATGACGTTCCAACCAACTCAGCCACCTGGCCAGGGCTCTCCTTCATTGTTTTTCCCACAATGCCCAACTCTGTGATTCAACTAACAAAGATTTACTGAGCACCTACTTTGTACAAGACATTGTTGTCAAGTCCTGCGGGTGCAGAGAAAGATCAATGTGGTCCAGGATCGGGTGTGTAAGAAGTCCAGTAGGGCCATAGGCCAGCACGTAAAAATAAGGGAGTACGTTTAGCATAGCAGTGGGAAGGGAAAAAAGGGGGAAGCGGGGACAGCCCTCGTGATGAGAGTTGAGGAAGTGGAATTTTTTTCCAGTTCGAGGAATCAAAGGCTTCAATGAGGCTGTGACACGGAGGGGGGCGAGCCACAGGCAGTAGTCACAATGCCTCTGTTTTTTTGGAGTCTTTTCCTGACCACCCCAGAACAGACTGACCTCTCTTTCCTGAGTGCCTCTCACTCACTGTCCCCACTGTTCAGCCAAAACTGCAACGTGACACGACCTTGTGACATTTCTTGACTTTCTGCCTCGCACTGCAAGTTAATTCCATATATCTTCCTTATTGAAGTTTCTCTGTGTGTGTCATCTCCCAGTCAGTTCGGCCCCGCCAGAAGCCGAATGAGAACCTGTCGCACCAAGTCCCAGCAGGTGCTGCAGCCCCGCACCAGCGGGCGGCCAGTGAGTCTGCTGCACAAACCAGCAGGTGACTGGACAGCCGGGCTCGCCGACCGCAGCCGGTCCCGCCGGAGCCCGCGGCCCGCAGGCACCGATTTAACAACACACGATTTCTGGAAAACTTCAGGACATTTAGCAAGTGGGCATTTTGAGACCTAAATTAAGAAGCCATAGTTCCGGAAGCTGAGGTAAAGGGGAGATGCTCTGGGATGGTGGAAATGTCCTAACTGCAGTGGTGGCAACAGAACCGGGTGCGCCGTCAAACTCGCAGTACTGTCCACCCAGAGGGGCTCCTGCGACGGCGTTTCCTCTCACACGTACGACTTGAGACACAAGTAGATAAGCACCTCTACTCAACTTTTAAAATCCAATTTACTGGGGTGCCACTGGTTAAAAACATTATGTGAATGGTGAGTGTACAGCTGGATGATACTACATCATCTCTGTTGTGTGCTCGCCACCTAGAGCCTAGTCCCCTTCCATCACCACGTAGTTGACTAGTTGACCCCCTTTACCCTCTTTTGAATGCTGGTGACTGGGATTCAGAAGTAAGTCACTCGCTCGCTCCGTCCCCACTCGCCCGCTCCGTCCCCACTCGCCCGCTCCGTCCCCACTCGCTCGCTCTGTCCCCACTCGCTCACTCAGTCCCCACTCGCTCACTTTGTTACAGCCCAGATCCCCAGTTAATACACTTACATTATCTCTAGAGCCAACCGTCCCGAGTGTGTTGCTTGATGCCTTGGGCAGGGACGGCCGCATCCCTCCACCTACCCACTGCTGTGGGCTCTTCAGACACTTTCCCCCTCACAGCTGCAAGTCTGAGAGAGCAACGGGGACCCCGGCCTCCGAGATGCCCTCTGAACGTGCTGTAGGCACCACCCCAGTCTCTCTCTCTGCCTGTCTCGCTCTCCATGTGGACTCCTCCCCGGACCACCCATCTCCCCCCAAGTGGCAACACACAGTGACTGATGGCAGCCACAGCCACAGAGGGCGGACCTTTTCGCGATCTTCTTCAGCAAACAAGGTCAGAAGTGGCGCCCCTGACTGGTGAGAAGTAACAACAACACCTAACACTTCCTGGGCACTTACCTTTGCCCCCACCACCCACAGGACCCCGCACCCCACGAGGA